TATATATATATATATATATATATATAACTAGACGAAGGTTGTGCGGCAGTGAAGCACCAGTGCCAACACTGATGTTGCTGTCTTTGATGATGATGGGCTTTACTTGAGTACTACACACCATTCGATCACGAAAAGCAGTTCGGTCAACTCGCACCTTGACAAAACAGGACGTCACTCTCTTTCAGTCACGCAGTTTATTTCGTCTCTTTCGATTGGTTCATGTGGTAGACGGTAACAAGCGTTCGAACTTAGCAGACTCCTATTTTAGTTGATGATTGCTCGTATAGCTATTGATGTATTTAACTAATTTGCATTTCAGATCGGCCTGAAAAGGATTATCCAATAGGCTTCACGAGAAGCTGTCACTTATGAAGTTCACCATCCAATTCTGCAGCGGTCTCCACCTCTAGTTTCAGTTTGACTAACGTTCGAGTTACCCGTGTTTTTACTCTATGAGCAGTCTTGAAGACTCACCGACAGCCTACTATCAGTTCTCCCTTGCTCATAGCCAATTGGATGGGCTTACCGCCCGAGTTAGAATCAAGCAATGTATCTTACCAGAGCACCAGTTCCAACATGTTTGGAGTATATTTTCAGTGTTGATCAGTGTGAGCGGGATGCCCATATGCGCTTCGAATTGGTCGTTCATGCTGTTAGGTAGACAGCATCGTCCACAGTAGGCCGGTGTCAGAACAAGCTCAGTGCCTTGGGGCGAATTTTTTGCAAATTTATACGAATATGCCCTATACAAACCCTTTTATTCTCCCTGAACTCAAAAAAGCCTTCATTATAGCTAACAAGGTCCAGTGGAGAGTTATCGGATTGGCGAAATATTTTGTTTCCTGTAGAAATATGTGAGCTTGGATATCCTTGAAGATGTGAGGTGCTAACAAGTTAGGCATAGAATGATGTGTCGCTGCCCTGCCGCACAATCTTACATCGGTTTGTGGATTCTAGAAAAAACCAAAGGCTGGGTTCGTACTTGTTAGATCGGTTTTTGATGCCCGTAGCCGAAGCTGCTGGAACTGAATTCTCTTGTGTTCAATGATTGACCGGCATCCGGAATGTGTCTGCCCTCTGCTTGCTCATAGTAAGCAAATCATCAACGGTACCCCTGGCACTGTTACCGATGCGAACCCGCTGAGAGACGCCATTCAGTCTAAGCACGATGCAATAACGAGTGGCACCAACGCCGCTCACCCCACACGAGTCTGATTGTGTTTTCCGTCAATTTCTCTGAGTTTCAGTAGGTACTACACTTCCTCCGAATAAACAAACTATAATGCTCCCCGGAGAATATCCAATACCACACCGCTTGTATGGGTACGGTTTGCTGAGGAGTAAACCAGCGGTCCGCAAGGCTAATGATACTGCATTCTGGTAGTTGAGGTATTGATCAGAAATCGGTACATATTTGTGTCATGATTTAAAGTGAGTTTGTTGGTTATCTAATCAGACCTATGGGCCAACAGGCTGTGATTGCACATGGCGCTGTAAAGCCATTTGGAACGACTCGCTTGCTTTCGAGTACTGAGATTCGCTGTGTCCCGACCTTAAGGCTTGTGCAGATGACACTGTTTCAATTACCAGCTTCTCCCAAGGTCACGGTTTTGCAAACCTACTCGAGGGTTTTTGCAATCGTCGAATTTCGTGCGTCTTCGAATTCGAGCTTTAGTGTCCGAGTCATCGGATATGAATCGCTTTGAGATGGTTGTGTATCAATGTGTACCCGATTCCCGCAATCTGAACTGAGTTTGGGAATTTAGTGTTTAGGATTTAATCTGACCGCTGAATTCGAAGTGTTTTGTGGAAACAGGATAAGTGAGATTTGTCTAACATTCACATGTACCGTCGGTGTGGTCGCATAGCAATGGGGATGGAACAACAGGTCGGCCACTGCACATTGGTGTCCACGAGTCTGGACGGTCGACCGAATGCAGAACCTACCGTGAAAACCCGAGCATTTAATTCAGTTTCGTGGTCAGAGAGCTGCCGAGGTATTGGAAATCTCCAAAACGCAACGCCGTGATGGTTAATTTTAAAACAGTTTATCTATCGTAATATCCGAGATACCGCTGACAATTGTGGTTATTCGATCAAATTTAATCACGTGTGCGGATGGACAAGCGAGCGAAACGCTTCCAGAAGATTCAACAACTGGCGCCTGATATTGTGCCCTGAAATGAATTGCTGCAAACAATGAAGTTCTTCGGATAAAACCTCCATGTTGGGGCCACGTGAAACTCAAAGAAGTTTGAGATTGTCCGTTGAAACGTACTGTATATTTCCTAGGATTTCCGTGTGAATAGGTGCACATGAGACCCGTCTTACGTGAGTGGGACAATCGCGCTATCATTAAGGCAACGTGGATCATCGATTGGTTGGGTGGTGAGTGAACTCGTAGGTGGTCATGTGTAAGTGACCACACAGAGTAATCAGCATATCACAGCAGAGGGGCGTGGACTGCTATTGTGCATCACGTCAAACAAGCACAGTTCGGTGAGAAGCGATCTAGACAGAAATGTGGAGTTGCAGTAAGATGATGGTCATCTGGGTCTGAGCTTCTGATTGTAACTGATTTCTGTTCAGCTCGTTGCGCTACATTAATTTTGCAGTTCGAATATAACATCGCAACTATCGTACCTTCTTGAGAATCAATAACTGCCCTATGCTATCGTGCAGTAAAGTGGGTACTACCCTAAATGCTGCTGAAGAATGTGTCCAGCACCAGAAGCTGCGTTGGTTGGGACACGTTTTGCGTATGACAATCCATCATTTGCCGAAGAGAGTACCGTTTTCCATGCCCAATTCGGAGTGGCCTAAACACAGAGGTGGCCAACCCATGAACTGGCAGAGGAGTATGTAGGAGATCACGAAACGCTTGGATGCTGTCGGTGCTATTCGCCTTCCAGGATGGGGACCGCGTGATCCTCATTGTGCCTGGTTGGAGACACTAGAGGATATGGCTGCCAACCGATGTCAGTGGCGTTCTTGTTGTCAGTTTCTGTCCAGATTGTCTGAGTGAATGTCTGGAGGTGTAGGCACCTCGGAATGATTGCGTTAAGCTAGCACTAAGTCCCTCCCCCATCCACCTTTATTCTTTTCTTTACAATAAGGCTTTCAAATAAGTCATGGCTGTACGGCAGTGAAGCATTGGTGTTGAGCACTGATGTCATGCTGTCGTTGATGATGATGATGATGACACCGGCTCACAAACATCAGGACGTCGAGTTTGATATCAGAACTCTATGCCTTTTCGCACTGGCGCACCAATCATCCTGAACTCACCGAATTTCCCTAAGAATGGCTTTTGAAGCTTATCAGGCATGTACAAGAGTCCATCGAACAGCCTACGTGGAACAACACAGATTCCGAAGTTGTGCTCAGAACAAAGGTTCTGCGGCTTTAACCTCACGAAATCCCATGTTCTTACATGTTTCC